CAGGTTATTGGTTCAAACCACTCTAGAAAGGAAAATCCAAGAGAGGTTGAAGTTACTGCCAGTCTGCTGATTGGTGCTGACTGACTCCAAGCTCTGCTTTCTGTGGTGGTCATCTGTGCTACGGAGTTCCCTGTGGGGAGCTCTGTAGCACAGCTGATTCCAGCTTGTTTGTGTGACTCAGGCTACCTTGCCAATACACAACCAGGAGCGCATTTTAGGGTTCCCAATTGTGCGTGGACAGCTGTGTGTCCCTCACCCAATGTCACATATGATGTTGGGCAGTCTTCCTCAACCTCAGCCCTCCAGATGTTTTTGGCCTACAACTCCCATGATCCCTAGCTAGCAGGACCAGTGGTCAGGGATGATGGGAATTGTAGTCTCAAAACGTCTGGGGGGGCAGAGGTTGGGTATGAAGCAGGTTGGTATGGTTTCAGGGAAACAGACTTAATGGGCCAGACTGAGACCTGAGGTGGGCCTAATTAGACCTGCAAGCTGGAGGTTTGCCATACCTGCCATACATGGACGCCATTCCCCCAAAACCCAAAACTCATTATTCCATGCAAGCTATTAAACATTGCATCCATAACTATGACAATCCTACATGTATTGGGTGAAGGTGGAAAGTCCCAAGATCTTGGGAAAAGGCTCACAAAGACTACCATTGTTGACTGAAATGAGCAGAACCAAGAATAAAAAATAAATAAATGTAAGATGTTATTCACAGGTGTACGTTTGAAACATTAAGGCTGTAATCCTGTACATATTTACATGGGGACAGGTCCCATTCAACACAGTGGGCATATCATGAGTAGTTGGTTTGGGCGTACTGCTGTCACCCTGCATTAATAGAGAGTACAGTACACATATATTTGCACTGGAGGGAAAGATTGAGAATGGTGGACAAATGACCCTTTTCACCAGTTTGTCTGCTGTTACTTGTCCTGTTATCAAGGGTACACAGCATTCCCTAGGATATACTTAGAAACCTGTGGTCTTTATTTCTCAGCAGCTGCTGCTTGCTTCCATGGGGGTCTCTTGATGTGATTCACCTTGCAGGTGCTCTATAAGGCCACACAGTTTTGTTAGACAATCACAGATTCACACAGCATGCTACCAGTGTTTTGGAAGCCTGTGTTTCAAAGCATAAAATTATGTTTTACAAAGAACCTGCTCTCACTTCAATTCATGTTTAAATCTGAAAGTTTTTCTTTTTTAAAAAAAACAACAACAAATCTGTAGCTCAGAAATGCCAGGCTCTGCAAGCGATGAACAAACACCTAGAAGCAGTGCTGAAAGAGAAATGGGTTCTTAGGCAGAGGCTAATGAAACCAGTGCGTCAAGAAAGTTTGCCTATTGAAGCTATGTACCACAGGTAACAAACTGCTTTGTTATTTTACTTACATGTTGGGTACTCCTCGTTTCTTTTCCAGATCAATAAAATACATTGGGAACAAAATCCAATTACAGTTAAAACTGCAAATGATGATGCTAAGACTTTTTTTTTAAAAAAAACCAAGTTACTGCAGAACTCTAAACAGCCACAATCAGTTCACTTCTGCTACCAAATAACATCCTTTATTTCAATTTTCATCAAAGGTACACTTCAAACATATATTCGGTGTATCACAAATGCATTTTATTTTAACTGTAGTCACTAACATTCTTACAAGACACACAATCCTTACTTTATTCATTACATTTTTCTTTTTCCTCTGTTTCCTGATAAGTTCCTATTTTATATCACCCTGTGGTATACACAGCCTGTTTTCTAAATCTACATTAGTCTGACAGCTAAGTTATTCTAAATCATTTATCAGCTCAGTCCAATTCATATTAAGGCATTGTTTCTGCTATAACATTAAAATAAATTTTCTAAATAGCTTTTGTGTTCTATTTTCCCTTCTTAATTCTCATCCATGTTCATTTAATGCATTTCATTAGGGACCAATAAAGATCAACCACTCAGCGATAGTAGGTGGCTGCTTTTTCCCAATATTGAGCTGTTCAAACATTTGCTGCCATTACTAAGTAATATATTGGTTCAGTGTCATTTGTATCTGTTTCCAGCACCATCAGTATAGAGTCAATTGAAATTTCTCTTCCTATTATCTCTTCTCGGGGGGCGGGTTTCCTGTTAGAAACCAAAACACAACAACAACAACAACAACAACAACAATAAATAAAATAAAATAAAAAATAACAACAATCGTAACATGTGAATTATTGAGCAATCTCCCCTCCCCTTCAAATCCCCCAGATTATATTTACTCTTTTACAGTGCTAACAACTTGAAATATTCCTAGGTGATACATATATTTAGCCTCCATAGTGTGAAATATCACCTCACAAAGATATTATCATTTTCTGTTACATTTTTTCTTTTTCATGCAGGCATGTAGTAGAATTGTTGGTGTCGGCAGTGGCTTTCATTGAAAAACTAGAAACCCATCTAACCACAGTAAGGAGCATTCCTCAAATACCTCTAGTTATGAAAAACATGGTGAGTGGTCTGTCATATAACTTTTCCTCGTTTCCTTTGATAGTAAAGTAAAGCTAAGAGCATGGAAGTCTTAGCTGGAAGTCTCCGGTTCAAATCTCGCCAGGCTATGGATTCCCTGGGTTGTCTCACTCAGAATGCTGGCTAATAGGCCTGTACCTGACATAAGGTATGTGAAGCACTGTAACTTCTGCTTCACTTCACACTAAGCTTCCCCTGCAATTAGAGAAACTGTGAATCTGTATCTCTGTCCTTGAAGAAAGGAGCTTCAATTGCTGAATCAATTGATCAGAAAGTTCAATTCCATCTATTTGAGTCTGAATAGTGACTGGTTTTCTGTACTGCTACAGGTGTTAATTTCCCATCAGTGCTAATTATTGCAGTTGTGAAGGGTCACTCTAGTTATTCTGCATACTGTACAGTTGAACTGTACGGTTCCATTGGACTGTACTTTATTTTGCTTTTCATTGCCATTTAATTCCAACTTTTACATTTTTCCTTTATTTAACATCCCCTCATTAAAATAGTACCGAAGTAATGAACAACAAAGCAGTTAAATGCAAAACAATTCAGTTTACGATAAAAACTATTTTAAAAAGCCAGCATATCACTGTTAACAGCAGTCAGGTATCATTCAACTGATACCAGAAGCAAGGGAAAGCTAGATATGTGTTTAAAAGCTGGCAGAAGCTGTTAAATAGGTGCCTGCCATATCTTAAGAGTAAGAAGGGTCATTGCTAAGGCTAGGGGCACAAGATGAGCCCCTGCAGTCTGGCATTAGGGCCTCCTCCAAAGATCTTGGTGAACGAGCAGATCTATATGGGAGTTGCTCTTTCTAGGGAATTATAAGTTAATAACAAAATGTAATAGCAATCTTAGCATTTCTTAATACCCATGTGTGCATTACATATCTGCCAGGTGAGGATTACATAATGCATCTGATAAAGTGGACTCTGCTCCACAAAAGATTATGCCAGGATAAATTTCTTAGTCTTTAAAAGGTAAAGGGACCCCTGACTATTAGGTCCAGTCGTGGCCGACTCAGGGGTTGCGGCGCTCATCTTGCTTTATTGGCCGAGGGAGCTGGTGTACAGCTTCCGTGTCATGTGGCCAGCATGACTAAGCCGCTTCTGGCGAACCAGAGCAGCGCACAGAAACGCCGTTTACCTTCCCGCTAGGAGCGGTACCTATTTATCTACTTGCACTTTGACGTGCTTTCGAACTGCTAGGTTGGCAGAAGCTGGGACCGAGCAACGGGAGCTCACCCCGTTGTGGGGATTCGAACCGCCAACCTTCTGATCGGCAAGTCCTAGGCTCTGTGGTTTAACCCACAGCGCCACCCGCGTCATTTCTTGGGTTTCTGCTGTAACAAACTAATATGGCTACCCCTAAAGCTATATGAAGGAATCTTTCCTGGAGTACGTTGACAAATGCCAGGGCAGGTATGCTAGTTTCACTTCCCTTGAGCAGCAGTCCCTGTGATGAGTTCATAGCATGCTAAAATACTTGTTTTCCTATTTCATTCCAGGACAGTGCACTAACAAAGTTGGACTTGTTAGTAACAGACACAAAAGCACTGGCAGAACAAATACTGGAGTGGAGAGAGAAAGTAAAGGAGATCTTTGAAAACTCACAGCTGACTGCTGAATCAGATTCCTGGTTCAGAAGTATAACTCTGTAATTGTACACACTCCCCACCATGCCTTTTCCTTCCCGATTCGGGCTACTTAGCCATTTGGTGTGTAGATAAAATGCATGTCTTCTATCACATTTAAAGTCACTTGTGTCTGTCTGAAATATATATTTGTACGTAGAAATAGTGCTATGTTAGAAACTGACAACGGATGTTAAATGGCCCTCTTGAGGTTCTGAGGAATATTTTAAAGAAGCAATTTTATTATGTCGCCTTAACAAGACCAGCTTCATGTACATATGTTTTATATTTTATAGAAAATGTTTTATATAAACATTATCTATTTTAAAAAGTGAGACCACTTATATCTTGGTACAAAACTTCAATCTAAATACCAGACTATAGACTCTTTTGTATGGGTGGGAAAGCTTTGGATTCCACCCTGTCCTAATGTGCATATATGAAAATCTGTAGCTTGATACCTTTGCTCTTCATACTGTTGAATACTGTACTAGAAAATAATGCAGAGGAAGAGTATGGGAAACAGTATTCCGTTAGTAATAAACAAACTAAATAAATACTTTTTCCTTAGTTTGTATTTGAAAGGGGGGGGGCAGAATAAGCAACTGTATACAAATGAGCCTGTCACTGTGCTAGCAAATGCCTGTGTTTCATAATCCTCCATCAGCTATGCTTGATTCGTTATAGCTTGTTATGGCTCATCATCAGTCTCTCATCTCCATCTGGTCTCTGTTCCAGCCGCTGAGAGAAAGCACAAGATAGATGTGCTGCTATGTAAACAGCATCCTGAGGATATCCCAGTTCTCTCCCAGTGACAGGACCTGTGTTCCTTTTCACATGTTAAAACAAAAACTACAAGCAGGGAACATCCCACAATAAACGCCCATATGCATACAACCTGGCAAGGAGGCATTTGTGTGTTTATAACCTAAACATGCTTTCTTAATAAAAATGGATGGGTAGTTTTTCTTTCACTCTCATACATTGAAGGCGGCAATTCTAACTCTTCATAATCCTTATGTTTGTTTCTTCCTAAGTGGCATGTAGGTAAATGTGTAAATTTGCCCATGCAGTTAGCCAGTCCTATACACATTTCCTTTGAACTAAGTTGTGTTTTATTGAATTCAGTGGGATGTGTGTAGAGACTTGCAGTTTTTAGTTTAATATGCTTCAAAGACATTCATATCGGTTCCTGAATTTATTTCTGTTTAATTCTCTTTAAAGCAGTTAACCTTACTGATATTAACAGACAACTTAAACTATACTAATTTAAGCAGATATTTCTATTAGAGTACATTCACAAAGTTTAAATGATGCAACAACAGGACATAATTTATCAGCACATGCTGTCTGAGAAAAAGGAAGATAACAGTGGTTGCCTCCTGACACGTGATGACAACATTGAACAGATAACTAGTAACTGTTCAAATTTGAATGGTCATCTCTAATAGTCTTGGTGTGCTGATGCATTTGTCACTAGGGGGCATAATTGTGAATGGTTCCCTTTTGTTACCAGTAACAGTCTGAAAGTTTACATGCTTTCCACCACACCCCCACTTTATTTTTAACTTTTAAGTATCAGCTCACAGTGTGGTTTTGAACAAGGTTCTAGATATCAGTATTAGCTCTATATTGCAAAATGGAAACAATACTAAACTCAAAGTATTGTGAAGGCAAATACCTTAAAGACACTAAAGCTCTCTGAAAGTGAAAAAGTGCTGCATAAATAGTATTTTTAGCAGTATGAAGATAACTGTACAGTGTGAACACACTCTGCCTTTCCTAACAGATAGAAGGTGTGATTGTATTCACCTGCACTGACTGCCAGTATACTTACTAGATGAAAAGCTAGTGCTTCCCTCTTAAAAGCATTTCGTACACTGGGCCCCATATTTCTGCAACCACCTCCCTAGTATTAACTATGCCACTTTTAGTTATTGAGACAGACCTTGCTCCATATACAACTTATCAGGAACATAATGTGGCCTTTCCTTCATCAGTTGCTCCAAGGTTTTAGAATGATTTCCCCTCAGAGGTGTGTGGTTTCTCCTTAGTGGGTAGCTAGCTGCACTTTATATTTTTGGTTTGCCCTTTGAGTTTCATAATTTAAATTTGAATGGTTTTGTTAGTATAAATCATCTTGAACCTTGTAAAGGTGGCTACCAAGAATTTTGTAGCAATACAAAAATTATTTTGTTGTAATACTACATAAGCTGACTCTTCTACTTATGTGCAGTATTAGTTTGGGTATCTTTCTAGGGAAGTTTTATATATGTGAGAATCTGCATTTTAGCATCTACTCATGGATACACTATAGAGTGGACCCAAAGCAGCCAAGGATCCAGGAAACATGCCATCAAGGGTGTTAGATGAGGCTCAGAGCAGTGGGCCCACAACAGATAAAGCTCAAATTGCAAGATGGGGTGTTCGGGTGGTGAACAAAGGTGTGTCACAGCAGCAAGCAGAGAGTGCCAGTCAGGTAAGATCAGTCATGGGGTCAGAAGGCTCCTTGTGGCTTACAGGTGTATCCATATATTGGTGATCAGTTTCTGGTCGACTCTATTGCCCAGTAATTGCTGGCATTTTTGCAAAGAATGCTGGATTTTGCAAACTTTGGCCTGATTCAGCAAAGGCGATTTATTCTACACCTTTAGGATTGCTTACTACAGAATTATGTGCCAATCACACTTGACCACTTTCTAAATAAAATAAAATGCACCAAGAAGATTCCTGTTTTTGTTCTTCAAGGAAGCACGCCATCCTTGTTCTATGTGTTGTTATTAAGCGAGCCAGAATCCACCTCACCACAGGTGCTGTTCTTGAGAAGCCAGATGTGGTTTATTTTCTTTTTTGACGCACATGTCTCACCAGCATTGGGGTGAGATATTGCTGGACTTTCTACTATTATTTATTATTATTATTATTATTACTACTACTACTACTACTACTATTATTATTATTATTATTATGGCGTTACCCAGCGCCCTCTTTAGGCCAAGAGTGGAAAGTTGTCGAGTTAAGCGTCTTTCCATACTCCATGAACTTCTCTCAAGTTTCACCCTCGACTTGGAGTATTCCCCACCCGCCCAGAAGTTGGAGCAGCCGGCCATTTAGCCGCAGACCCAGCGCCTCACGGAAAACGGAGGGAAATTGGAGACACCCGCTTCCCTCAGACCGGCCCAGCAGCAGCAGCCCCTCCCTCCCCATTTCCTCTCCTCTCCCCAGGCGGCCAGGCCCTTCCCTCAAGAGCAGCTGCGCTGTGCTGGGCGGGGTCGGGCCGCGTTTCCCCTGCCCAGGGCTCTGCGGAGAGCCGAGGCGCTTGGAGGAGGACGGCGGGGATGTGATGCGGGGTCGTGGCTTCGGCGGCCGCGGTGGAGGGGAGGAGGGGGCGCCTTCTGCTGCAACTCAAGACGGGACATGGCGAATGTCAAAGTGGCGGTGCGGGTCCGGCCTCTCAGCAAAAGGTGGGCCGGGGGCGGCGCTGGGGCGGCTGAGGGTGGCAAGAGAGGGAGTCGACCTCGAAGACGCAGACACACGTCTATGTGCACAAAGGTTGGGAGAGGACGCTTTTTGCACGCACGCGCCGCCAGCTTGTTTGCACCGTAGCGCGGCTTGTGCGCGTGTGGGACCGTTATGTGCGGCGCTCGCGTCTCCTATGTGGAGGAGCTGCCAGGTGTTAACATGTGCTGGTTGCAATGGTTGCGTCGCTTGCAGAAAACCTGGGCAGCCCAGGAACTGAAGCGCTGGGCTCGGCTGAGGGGGGCGGGAAGCTGGTGCTGCGACGTAATGGGGCAAGAAAGGTCGTGGTATCGCCTCGCCCAGCCTGATGTTGTGGGACTATAAAGTATATTGTCCAGTAACTGGAGGGGTGATAGGAATGCGTGGCCAGAGAGAAGGGAGGGCTGGGCATCAGTGCAAAAGGTGCAAATGGAGCATAGGAGCCAACTCCTAGGGGCGGAGGTTCCCTCAGCCCCCCAGTAAAATATTTGAGGGTGCAGTGCATCCCCCCAAAAGTTGATGGGCATCACCATTGAAATGGTGTGTGCACACCGTGTCTTGTGATAGATTATGTGGGGTGGGACTGACCTGCCCCCCCCCCCAGTATTTTATTCAAGTTGGCACCCCTGAAATGGAGACGGGTTGTGTTAAAGGGGGCTATATGAAGTGTGGCACATTTCTGGGCAGTCTCTGTTTAGGTATATAGTACTCGGAACTCCAGTGAGACTTGTTTATTCCCATGAAGCAAGCATGCTGAGTACGTTATGCTTTGTCTACATGATATATTTGTTATAGGAATGCTCTGCATTATTAAAAACGTGTTTTGAGTTCATAACAACTTGGCTACAGTTGAATTATTTAAAGGCCTTTCCAGGCAATGAGTTTATACTAGTGTATTAAATGTGCAATTGCTATGGGGTCCAGTTGTCTTCTCCCAAGACTCCACTTTTGTTGCTAAAATATTGCATTTTCCACGCAAACTGCACACTTAGGACTCTGAGAATGTGATTGGTTTTTTCCAGTTGCCATGTTCACTGCTTTTGTGATTGCTTCATGGAGCACAAAGTATAATAGACAATCGTAGAAACTGTACTTGCGGTGCCTAAAGACGAGCAAAACTAAATTTCCCCATGCTGTTTTATAAACTTGTTATTTTTAATCACTTGATGTCCTTGGTTTCTATGCCCTCGCAGGAGTTTGCTATTTCAGTGATGGAGTGCTCATCTAACATTACTTTATAATTACCAAAAAACTTGAAAGGCAAGCTACTCCTCTCCCGACAGAGCCCTGCCAGTTCTGAAAACCTTAAGTTGTTACTTAATTTCTTGATGAGGGCACACTCTGGCTGTGTAAAATGCATATCCTGGCTGAGTGATATGACCACCTTAGGCACAGTTCTTGGGGGACAGTGATGGTGCCCACTGTCTGTACCATTCTGTTGCAGAACAGAGCTGCTTGACTTCACGTGGCCTGTTCTGCACCCTCAAAACTAGCTTTTCTCAGGTGCAATGAAGGACATTTCATTGCTAGTCAAGTCAACCTCTATCCATGAATTGGTGAGGGAGGGCATCATCTTTTCCTGAAGCACTCAAATAGGCTTATGCTGGTCATGCTCCCCATCTATTATATGAAGAGAAAATATTGCGCTACTGCCAATGGACAGTGGCTAAAGTGCTAAGGATTAAATTTTGGGGGCTCTGTTTCTACTATCCGGTAATGGGAGGTCTTTCCATTTTAAATATAGAAATGCTGATGTTACCATAGATGGAACTAGGTCATTTCTAAACTTCTGTAATATTTCTACCTGCACCAGTGGCATAGCGTGGGGGGCTGTTGCCCTGGGCACATTTTTGAGGGGGCACAACAAGGGAAGCTACTCCTGGGCTGGTCTTTGGGGCTGGGGTGTGGGCGGCAGCATAAGCTGCTCCACTCCCAGGTCAGGCCTGACCCAGGGGCAGAAGTGTTTAAGAGGTGGCATCACTGCCCCTCTCTAATGCTGTGATCCCCTGCAGTTGCCCATCAGTGGCGGCACTGCAGCCGAGGGAGGGACTAGCTTCATTGGCC